AACAAAGAGTTTATAACTCAAGTAATTGGCTGGGATCATGAGCAAACCTAGCAAAAAGAGTCAGACCACAGAATCTTTTTTTTTGGTAATGAAGCAGATCAAAACATACAACCAGAAGAAGACAACAAAGTCAAAGTTCCTACATCCAAAGCCTCCAAGAAAAATATGAATCAGTTCCAGGCCTTGGAAGAAGTCAAAAATTAATTTTGAGAAGCAAGTAAGAGAAATAGAGAAAAAACTGGGAAGAGAAATGAGAGTGATGCAAGAAAATCATGAAAAACAAGGCAACAGCTAGCTAAAGGAGACCCAAATAAATACTGAAGAAAATAACACCTTAAAAAATAGCCTTACTCAAGTGGCAAAAGAGGTCCAAAAAGCCAATGAGGAGAAGAATGCTCTAAAAAGCAAAATTGGTCAAATGGAAAAAGAAGTCCAAAAGCTTACTGAAGAAAACACTTCCTTAAAAATTAGAATAGAGCAATTGGATGCTAGTGACTTTATGAGAAATCAAGATACTGTAAAACAAATCCAAAAGAATGAAAAATTAGAAAACAATGTGAAATATCTCATTAGAAAAACAACTAACCTGGAAAATAGGTCCAGGAGAGATAATTTAAAAATTATTGGACTATCTGAAAGCCATGATCAAAAAAAAAAAAAGAAGCCTAGACATCATCTTTCAAGAAATTATCAAGGGAAATTTCCCTGATGTTTTAAAACCAGAGGGTAAAATAGAAATTGAAAGAATCCAGTGATCTCTTCCTGAAAGAGATCTTCAAAGGAAAACTCCTAGTAATGTTGTAACCAAATTCCAGAGTTCCCAGGTCAAGGAGAAAATATTGCAGGCAGCCAGAAGGAAACAATTCAAGTATGGTGGAAACCCAATCAAGATAACACAAGATTTAGCAGCTTCTACATTAAGGGACCACAGGGCATGGAATAAAATATTCCAGAGGGCAAAGGAGATAGGATTACAACCAAGAATCACCTACCCAGCAAAACTGAGTATAATTCTTCAGGGGAAAAAATGGTCATTCAGTGAAATAGAGGACTTTCAAATATTCTTGATGAAAAGACCAGAGCTGAATAGAAAACTTGACTTTCAAATACAAGACTCAAGTGGAACATGAAGAAGTAAACAGGAAAGAGAAATCATAGGAGACTTATTAAGGTTGAGCTGTTTACATACCCGCATGGAAAGATGATATTTGTAACTCATGAGACCTTTGTCAATATTAGGGTAGTTGGATGGAAAAATTATATGTATGTATGTAGATAGATGGATAGATAGATAGATAGATAGAGGACATAGGGTGAGTTGAAGATGAAGGGGTGATATATGGAGAATAAAATTAAGTGGTGAGAGAGGATTATACTGGGAGAAGGAGAAAGGGAGAGGTAGAATGGGGTAAATTATCTCACAAAAAACACAAAAGAAAAAGACTCTTACAGTGGAGGGGAAACAGGGGAAGGTGAGAGGGGATGAGTGAATCTTATTCTCATTAGATCTGGCTTAAGGAGGGAATAACATACACACTCAATTGTGTATGGAAATCTATCTTACCCTACAGGAAAATAGGGGGGAAAGGGAAAAAGAGAGCAGGGGGATGACAGAGGGGACCGAAGACTGGGGGAGGGGGTAGTCAGAAGCAAATACTTCTGAGGAGGGACAGGGTCAAAAGAAAGAATAGAATAAATGGGAGGCAGAATAGGATTAAGGGAAATATAGTTTTTCACAACATGACTACTATGAAAGTGTTTTGCATAGCTGCACATGTATAATCTTTATTGAGTTGCTTGCCTTTTCAATGAGGGTTGGTGGGGAGGGAGAAAAGAAGAAAATTTGGAGCCCAAAGTTTTAAAAACACATGTTATAAAAAATGTTTTCACATGCAAGTGGGAAATAAGAAATATAGGAAATGGGGTACAGAAATCTATCCTGCCCTACTGGAAAATAGAAAGAGAAGGGGATAAGAGAAGGGGGAGGAGAGATAGAAGGGAAGGCACACTAGGGGACGGAGTATTCAGAATGCATGCCATCTTGGGGTGGGGGGAGGGGCAAGATGGGGTGAAAATTTGGAACTCAAAATCTTGTGGAAGTGAATGTTGAAAACTAAAAATAAATAAATTAAAAAAAAAACAGGAAGAATGAGAAGAAGCACACATTCGTTTTCATTAATCAAGATACTGTTGTTTCCTTGGTTATTCATTCTAGGTAAGAAACTCAGAATGAAGAAATGAGCAGGTACCAGTAGGCCCAGGCAATTGCAGCAAGTAATTAAATAAAGAAAAATGAAATATGAAATAAAGGAAAAAGAGACTGCAAAAATTAGAGCTGGAAGGGACATCAGAGATCATCTTGTCTAATCCTCTCTTTTTAAAAATGAGGAAATTGTGGTTAAGTGATATTCAAGCAGAGCTGGGATCCCAACTCAGTTCCTTTGATTTCAAATACACTGTTCTTTATACTGTACCACACAGAGAGGACTGTATTAGACAAAACTTCTAGTTGGTCACCATTGGACTGATTCATCAGGGGAAAATGTAAAATGTACATTATTCCCTAGAGGTAACAGAGTTTTACTCTAACCTTGTGCCTGAACATAGAGCCATAACTTTTTTTTTTCATTCCTGCTTAAAGGTTCATTAGGAAGTCATAAGGTAGCAATTTGAATGATAGAATTAAACTAAATACGATTCCTCCTGAATTCAAGGCAGCTTCTTTGTAGTACCTTAAGCCACCACTATAAGATTAGTAATAACTGGAAAGCAGAGGCCACTATTCAGAGAGACCAGGCATACTCATGAGAAAATAAAGAGCTAGTCATAAGTTTCTAAGCAAATTTGATTGAGAAGATGAAGGTAAGCAATCAAGAGATGGTTAATGAAAGCCTTCTATAAACACACTTCAGGCTTCTGTCCTAATATCACCTTTAAAAATACATTTAAATACATTAAATACATTTAAAAATACATTCCCTCTATATTCCCCTCAATTGAATTGTAGCTGAGCAGTAAAAATAAAACCTGAAACAAAAAAATAATTGTACAAAAATCCAAACCCTTTCTTAATGAAAAAGGCTTTTACTTTTTTCTTCTTTTCATAAGGTACAAAAAAAATCGTCACTGAAATAATGAAATATGAGCAAAGCAGAAAAAAAAATTATTCCCAAGGATTGCATCTCATCTCCCACATGCTAAAGATTCCCTGCTGATAACAATTACCATAGCTAGGCCACCTGTAATGTAAAGTCAGTCTTGACTTCTGATCAATGTGACTAAGACTGAAGAATAAAGTGGACAAGAGGATTTATCATTAAATTAACAAAAGTATAGTATATAAGGAAAGAAATATTCATTGTAACTTTCTGTTGGGTTGAAGCCAGAAGAAAATTACTCTGGCTCTTTAATGCCTTAAAAAGTTTTTTTTTTAACTCTTAAATCTCTGACAATCTATTTGTCATCTTCAGATTACACTGATTGAAGGATGATATTTTTCTGTATTAATGGTGACCTCTTGGCTATTTCTTTCAGGATACCCCTATGTGAACTGGATACCTTTTGTTTGTTTGTTTGGTTTTCTAGTTCCAATCCCTGCTCCAGATACTTATTGCCACATTATTTTTCAAAGAAAATGTTATCACTATCTGGCTGCTTAGTACAGTATGACTAGTCATTTCTCTTGTCTCACCATCAGATTCCTCACTTGTAAAAGGATGGAGTTGAATCAGATGATCTCCAAGATCCCTTCCAGCCTAGGAATATTTCTGTGAGATAGAGTATAAGACTATATGCTCATAACCTATTTATATTATATATAGATATACACATGTATTTATATATAGACACACACACACATACACACACACACACACACACAAACTGAGGTTGTAGAGACGAAGTACTTTGCCCAAGATCACATAACTAGTAACACAGTTCAAGCTTAATCTCAGGTCTCCCAAATTCAAAGCCAGTCCTCTTTTCATTATAACATTATTTTTGAGCACCTGTTATGGGGTAAGTAGTTTTGTATCAGGAATCAAGTGTTTGTGAAGAGATTCACACACACACACACACACAGATGACACAGGAAAAGGGAGACAGGGAGCTAGAGACAGAGATAGAGGCACAGAGAGACAGAGATAGATGGAGAGCCAGGGATGGAGAAAGAGACAGAGTCAAAGACAGAGATAGAAAAAAATTCACCTTTTTCCTTCTCCTATAGTATGGTCCACTCATTTATACCAACTAATTCCTCAGAATCCAATGAAAAATAAGTTTATCTTTATCTAGAGAGAAAGCTTATTATAAATGTACTAGCAGAAAAAAAATAAACAAGACTTTGGAGTAAGAGATGCTATTTAAAGGGAGGAAGCATAGAGGGGATACACTCAGTCCCACTGTAGAAACAAATTCCAATGTGGGAGGTCACTACTTAAGTTGGTCAGTGAGCCAGACAAGACCCCAACTGTTCATCATTATACTCAGTTTGAAGTAGTAGTCAAGTTACTTATGTATGGAACAATTGGAGAGTACTACAAAGCAGTATTCCATCTGGTATACAATTGAATCTACCCAAGTAACAAAGAACAGTTCATGGATCACTCCTCTAGCCCCTTGCTCCTAGTTCTTTGTGATCTCTCCCTCTTGAAGTTATTTTGCATTACTACTTATTACAGGACTTACATAAGTAATTACTTTACTTACATGTGTGAGTATTGTATCTTCTGAGTATGATATCATTTCAACAAGGTCAAGGAAAGCTTTACTTTTATCTTGTATGCCTAGCACCTAGCACGGTGCCTGGCACACAGTAGGTATTTAATAAGTTTCTTTTGTATTTGAGTTGAATTGCGTGAATAAGTAAATAGTATGGAGTGGTGAATGAATCAACATGGACTAGAGTCATTAACGTAAGATTCTAAATGAATGTTAGTCATAACCTCACCTGAATTCTGCCTAATACATGTCTGGGACTTATTTTATTTCTATTCTTTTTTTTTATTTCACTTTTATTTGCTTTCTAATGTCATATTTACTCCCGTGCCATAAGCTTTTGTTTCTTCAGTTTCTTCTGGGATATCTTTTTCTTTTGAGCAACATCCTCTTCTGGTTTAAGAACAATTTGTTCCTTTTCAGTAAGTATCATCTCAATATGGCAAGGAGAACTCATGTATGGGTTGATCCGACCATGAGCCCTGTAAGTATGCCGTCGCATTTTAGGTGCCTTATTAACCTGGATATGCTCAATGACGAGAGAATCCACATCCAAACCCTTCAGCTCTGCGTTACTCTCTGCATTTTTAAGCATATGCAGCAAGAACTCAGCACTCTTTTTGGGCCAACGACCCTGTGTCCAACCCCACTGCTTAGCCTGGGCACACCTGCCAACTCCACCATTATATTGCCTGAAGTGAATACATTGTTTCTTCAATGTGACATCTTTCAAATACTTGGTAGCTTTTTGGACATGCATGCCCTTGATAGCTTGGGCTGTTTCACGGGTGTTCTTGAAGTGGACCCGGAGATTTGAACCCCTTGACTTGCATGATTTTGTGGGGTTCTCTGTATCAAGAGAGTACCTTACCATTTTAAATGATTACCTAGGATGGATCAAGGGATTATTTCTATTCTTGATCTATTTAAGGCTACAGGATTAATAGACTCAGAGCAGACCTGATGCAGGAAACATTTTCCCTCTGTTTAGTGGGTGGGCAAGTTTATTCACTTCTCCAATGTAAAGCCATAGAGATCTGGTTCCAAAGCAATTATGGCAATTCTGATTTTCAAAGTGGAATTAAATTAAATTTGAGGTGTTTGCGTCAGTTGTTCATTCATTCATTCATTCATATTTGTCAACTTCTGACTATATATATATAAAACTTATGTGAGGCCTGTAGCTATGTTGATGAATTACTCTATAGGTTGAAGCTGGTTCCTGATTACAGAGATCTTGAAAGTAGAGAGAATCCTCATATCCTTACTTTTCTACTCCTGAACCCCTTTCAGCACTACAGAGGTCTAAAGGAAGGGTAGGGAATTATCAAGTCCCAGGAATTTTTTATTTAAGATATGCAATTCTGGTGAAAATGTAAGTGGAATTTTGTTATACTTTAGCAATGTTACCATTTTCGAAAAAAATATATTTAAAAAAAATTATTATTTACAAATATGAGGGCAAACATTTTTGCAAATAATCAGCAACAATTTTCTGAAGAATAAGGTTTTATTTTCTTACTTTCTTAATTGACAAATACATAAACATTGCAAATGTTATCTTCTGGGTCTTAAGTAATGATAAAAATAACAAAGGGTTTGTGTCTATGATTAATCTATATGATTGTATTTGTTTGATTTCTTTAAATATTACTATAAGTCATTGTCATTAATCTGCAGTCTGATAAATTGGAGACTAATTTGTTACCAGTATCAGGATAGATGAGAAAAAATTAGATTTAATTAAGTTTAAAGATCTCCCTAAATGTTTTCATTTTGGTGATAAATCAGATATTTTTCAGAATAATAAACAGGAAACAGAGGCACTGAAACCACATTTATTTCCAAAGGTAAGGATCCTTGTTACACTTGATGCCAAGGCTTACAAGGCAAGCAATTGATTATATTTCCCACCTAGCATTTTCTAGAAGGAAAATAGAATATCTCTACCCCCAAACCACCACAGTTGGATACTCTTAAGGTGTAAAAATTCTAATGTAGTTCCATGTGGACAAGGTCAAAAGATGAGAGTGATATAATTTTTCAAATATCTATGTGGGCATGGGCTAAGCATGATTTAAGCTAAAAGCTTACAATCTAATGGAATCTAATGGAGATAACACCCAAAAGGAGGAAAGCATGGGACACCAGGGGTGGGGTAAGGTGGAGTAGGGAGGAGTTTCTTGTTCTGTAGAGTTTAAACCAGCAGAACAGCAGATGCCAAGTGTTGTCAACTGAAAGTCCAATTTCTGCCCTCTATAAAGAAAGACATTGGGAGAAATTTGGTACTCTGCCCTCCAGTCTGAGGAAAGAGGAGACTGAGGGAGGTGATGTCAATTAGGGTTTGAGTTTGCAGCATGTTTGTTGTTCAGTTGTTCAGTTGTGTCTAACTATTTGAGACCCCATGGACATGTGGCGATCCTTCTATCCTTCACTGTCTCTTGAAGTCTGTCCAAGTTCATGTTCATTGTTTCCATGACACTATCTACCCATCTCCTCCTCTGGTGTCCCCTTTTACCTTTGCCTTCAATATTTCTCAACATCTGTGTCTTTTCCAATGAGTCCTGTCTTCTCATTATATGGCCAGAGTATTTAAGCTTCAGCTTCAGTATTTGACCTTCCAGTGCAGTGTTTGAATCAATTTCTTTAAACATTGACTGATTTGATTTCCTTGCTGTCCATGGGATTCTCAAAAGTCTTCTCCAGCACCAAAATTCAAAAGCATTAATTCTGTGGAGCTCAGTTTTCCTCATAGTCCAACTCTCACAGACATACATTGCTACTGAAAAAAAAATAGCCTTGACTATATAGACCTTTGTCAGCAAGGTGATGCCTCTACTTTTTAGTATGCTGTTCAGATTTGCCATAGCTTTCCTTTCAAGGAGCAAGAGTCTTTTAATTTGATGGCTGCATTATCATCTGCAGTGATCTTTGAGCTAAAGAATATAAAATCTGATACTGCTTCCATTTCTTCTCCTTCTATTTACCAGGAAGTGATGGGACCAATTGCTTAAATCTTAGTTTTTATAATGTTAAGCTCCAAGCCAGATTTTACACTCTCCTCTTTTACCCTCATCAAGATGATTCTTAATTTTTCTTCACTTTCTGCCAGGAGTCCTACCATCCACATATCTGAGATTGTTGATTTTCTCCCAGCAATCTTAATTCTGGCTTTTGGTTCATCCAGCCTGACATTTTGCATGATGTAATCTGCATATTACTCAAATAAATAAGGTGACAATATACAGTTGTTCTCCTTTTCCCACCTTAAACCAATCAGCTGTTCCATATTGGATTTTAACTGTTTCTTCTTGAACCGCATACCTTTTAATACTGTCCACAGGGTTTTCTTGGCAAAGATGTTGGAATGGTTTGCCATTTCCTTCTCCACTGGATCACCTTTTGTCAGAACTCTCTACTGTGACCTGGCTGTCCTGGGTTATACTACATGGCACAGCTCATAGTTTCATTGAGCTATGCAAGCCCCTCTGCTAAAACAAGGCAGTGATCCAGGAGGGACTTGCTGGTAAGTTTAGATGTGATGAGCTTATCCTAGGAAGCAAAACTTGTTCCTTGGAGTTGCAATCAGGCAGAGCAGAAGATATAAAGTACAAAGTCCCTCTGAAGGTACTTTTGGAAGGAGGACACTATAAATTGAGGGAATAAATTTAAATAGAATTTCCTATAGAAGATAATATGTGAGTGTAGTTTTGAATAAAGAGCATATTTCTATGAAGTGGAAATCAAGAATGAGTACATTTCATGTGTTGGGGCTGGAAGTTTCAAAGGCACTGTGATGGGAGATGAAGGGTCATGCACGAAGGAAGACAGAAAAGGCTAGTTTGGCTGGATAGTAGAATGGAAGGGTGTGTGTGGAATGAGCAGTGTTGAAGGAGGCTGCAATAATAGGTTGAGGTCAGTCTGTGAAGGGCTTGAAAACTTTAAGTTTTCAGAAAGATTTGACATTTGATTGTAGAGGCAATAGGAAGCCCCCGGTGTTGATTGAGATAAAGGATGATGTGGTCAGATCTGTTTAAAGAAAATCATTTTACAATAGCTCATAGAAGAAAACTGAGTAGGGAAAGATTTGAGAGAGTGAGTGTCATAAAGAAGGTATTGCAATAATACTTAGGTGAGAGGGAATGTGTACCTAAACTAAGGTTGTAATTATGTGAGTAGAAAGAAGGTATATAATTCTATTTGCAAAGTACCACCATGGCTACTGTGCATGATACATAAAATGACCTCCATACTTTTATAGTTAGCTAAGATTGAAAAGACATATACTCAAATAATTACTCTCCAAGGGTATAAGAAGTGACACAAAAATTGTATAGGCAATAAGTCCTATACAAGTTCACAGGAAATTTAAAGTGATAAGTCATATGTATAGGTCCAGAGTTGAGCATTCATTCCTTCATTTGTTTGGTCTATCATTTATTAAGTGTCTACAATTTAGTGGCACTAAGTTTTACAGAGACAGAAGTTTCAGCTGAATGATGATATCATCTTTCAGGCTAATTCCTTTAGCAAAGCAAATCATTGGTCACTATCTCCTATTCTTTCTTCTCTCATTGTGTTTTCTGGACTTTGTCTCTGGACTCAGATAACATTTTCCCACCTAGCTGGAGGCACTTAACTATTGCAACGGATAGTGTTGCACCTAGACCCAGGAAAACTTGAGTTCAAATCTGTCTTCAGATACATATTAGCTGTACTATATGACCCTGGACAAGTAATTTAACCTCTTTATGCCTTTGTTTGCTCATCTATAAAACAAGGATGATAATAACATCTACCTCTCCAAATTGTTGTGAGGATCAAATGAGATTATATTTTAATGGGTTTTTGATGACCTTAGAGTGCTATGCTAGTCATTACCATTATTATTGTTATCACTATCATTATTCTTCATATTACTCTTTGTGGACTTCTGGTTTTGACCTCCAAATGATTTTCAGTTTGGAAAGCTCAGCTTGGATCATATCCTTTTTAACTTTATTGACTCCTACCTGGAACATTAATCATCTGACATATATTTGTTGGAATCAATCCCTCTACCACTCCACATCCTTTATCCTCTCTACCTCTTTCCTTCCCTCAGGTCCCAAGAATGGGATAGAATAAAACATACTTTAGACTGCATATTCTTCTTTAAAAATCCTGAGAGGACAATTAACACCATCTCTGTGCCTAGGGCCAAAAAAAGTCAGCCTAACAGAAATCAAAAACCAGGCAAGAAATAAATGGTGTAGACAGCCTAAAACTCTTTACATTTTTCCTTATTATTTCCTGCCCCCTTTCCTCCTATATATCCCTCTGTGGCAGGACTTTGAATAAAAATACTGTAGGCAGATGTTTGTGTTCTTTCTGCATACGGATATAGAGGAGGGAGTGAGGGCTGGGCAAAGAAGTACTGAACATGGAATTGGTAACTGTGGGTCTATTCTGGGCTCTGTTATTAATGACCTGTGCCTTAGTAAGCAATTTATTAAACTTTTCTCTGCCTTAGCTTCCTCATTTCGACATGAGAATATCTTGCCTATATAAAATTATGTTGTTAGGTAAAGCATTTACCTTTTTAAGCCCAGGTAGCTCACTGCTAGGCATCAGTGAAGCAAGGGCATAGGGCCAGATCCCAGAAGTGTGAAGGAGATGAGAAAGCAGAGTAAACAAGGCTTTTTCTAATATTTTTATTGAAAGGGAGGAGAGCTACAGGATGTTAGGATGAGATAATGGTAGGGAAAGGAGGAGGTTTTTGTTTATTTGTTTTTAGACTGAGGTTGATATGGTCTGGGTTGTTAAGCACCTTAGGGGCCATTGCATAAGGAGATAAAGGAAAATGTGAAGAAGAGAGGGGATAGTCAAAGAGACAAATTCTCAGAAG